GTAAATACTCATAATTGTCCCTTTGCACGGAAATCTTTAGTAAAAGGCGAAAGATTTTCTCGGTTAAATGCAAAGGGACCAGAGGTAAAGCAACCAGTCACGTGGGCATCGCATCAACCAGCGCACCGTATATTCGACGGGTTTGCAGCGATTCATCCATAGCTAAGAGACCACAGACAGGCAACTGCTGCCTCATTCTTCGTGCGACGCGAATTCAATTCGATTCCAAATGTATTTGCAGACGCCCTCTTCTCGCATTTGCCATTTCTTAGCCGAATTTAGAATATTCTAGAACGTCCGATGATTTGCAATATTGATTTTCCTCTAAATACATTATTCCGATTCATGATAGCAGTATTTATCGAAGTTTATAACTAAATTGCGACATAAGTGACTTTTACTGCCATTTGTTCCCAGTTTCGCAGTAGCCTTTCTCAAGAGGTTGTTTTTGCTTTTTTTTGTACAAATACATTTCAAAAAGTTCGGGAACTGTCCAGTGTTTCAATATGATTCAAAGTGAAGCCGGCATTAGTGCTTCAAGGTTGTCGTTGGTGTGGCAAACATTTCTCATCGATATTTGCACTGGCAACAAAGAAATATGGGTGCTTGTCTTCAATTTTATTTGTCTTTATGCATTGACATTTGGTCTCTTATTTACCTTGAAGTCTCTTCCTTTTACAATCCCACTATCCTCTATTTAAGCGAACCATTTTCCGTTCAAATCGAAAAATAGTTCCGTGAATATTTATAGTATAGACAAAAATCAATATAAAGATTTAAAGACTTCGAAATGAGGAAAAGTTATCAACTGGGCTTCGAGAAAGCGATGTAACCCCGATATAACCACTAATCTCCTGCATAGTGCGTCGTTGCGATGGGATTCTTCAAAAAAAAAGTTTAAGAGAATACCATCAGACTCAAATGCCCAAATGAGCTTATATGTATGTATAGGTTTTTTTAGCTTGTGCAGTTTTTTTACTGCTGATACCATTGGATATCACTTTCCATAGAAATATTTACAGAAATCCGTGAATTTGAACTGGTTCTTCTATCTATATAGTCGAAAAATGCCTTGTTGTTTCAAGCTCGTTTTCGTTGAGCATTAGCCGGAACTATTGGTTATTACTAGCAATTGGCTCTGCTGAAATTTTCTTGCTACTCGGAAAATTTACAGCATGCTGAGACCTCACCTTTAAAGCAGTGTCAGGATTAAACACTTTGAGTTCGTTTTCCAATTATTTCAACCTCAAGTAACTATCCTACACCTTTATGATTGTCTCTTTATTGCAATGCCTTAGATTCTGGTGTTCTCCGAAAATAGTTTCTCTTCATCGGTAACTGATTGATTTGATTTTGCTATGTTTGATATAGGCAGCGGTCAATGACAGATTCCGATGTGAATGTTGGCGAAAATGTTAAACAAAAGTCCGAAAACATCGACGAAGATTGCGAAGTGAGTAATATCTCGGAGTATAGTTTCTTGGAACTCTATTATCTTAATGGCTTGTGTGAAAATCTTCAGAAAGTCGTGTCTCATGTTGCTTGTGTCACTCTAGAATCGGACTCACTTCCAGAAACTCCAAATATGCCAAGGGCTGCAAGGTAGCAAAGTTCTTTTCACTAATTTCTTTTGCGAATAATATTTCTGCTAAACCTGCTGCCATCAGTACTTGCGAAATTTTCAGTCGATGAAATACTCAATGCCATAAATGTGTCAGTGATTCATCGTCCATAATGTGGACTATTATTTGGCATTCGGAAATGGAAAATAGGGAGGGAATTCTGCGTAGCCTTCGTAGCGGGGCGGGAATTATTTGCTGCATTAATCGGGTGCTTCGGTCCCCCTAAAATTCTCAATCAATCCGATTATTGCTCTTTCTGAAGGACCACCACATTTTTTGGTACTTGCTATCAATGGATAATTTTTCATGGTAGGTCGTCCCATAGCTGTACTTAAACCATGTTCAGGTAGTCCACCTTTTGAAAGGGGTTTCCAAACGTTCATTTCCCATTCCTGCTGTGGTTTACACTATTCTGCCAAATTCTCATATAAAATTTCCTTTTCCAGGAAAAAGAAGCGCTTAGTGCGTCGGCCACGCGGTTATAAAATGGATGTTGATCCTCAACCATCTACCTCACAGCTCAAGCCAGGTGTCTTTTTTCAAGCTTTGCGTAGAAGCATTCTCCTTTGTTTGAATATATGCTCAAATATAGTGTAGATTGTACCAAAAGATGTGACGAACGTGCGCCTTGAGGTTGCTTCCCCATAGGCTAATGAGAGTTGGGAAGGAAAACGACTTTGTACTTTGCTTTTTTTCTAAGAACTTTTGCCAGTGACGACCTTCAGGTTTTATTTTGCTTGCTATTTGCTCTGTAAACGTACTGCTAACTTTGTTCACAACTTTACGCCTTGTATATCAATGTATAATATTGTCAAATAATGGCAATTTCTTTACACGTTTTCTTGTTCTTTTAGATAGTAGAATGGAATGGGATGGAGCGGAATCATGTCTTTCTTCAACGAGCGAAAGCGAAGAGGGAAATACTGCTGCTGATGCTGATGACGAACAAAGTGACTGGGTCGGGTACGCCCCCTCCGTGACCGAGGGTGACTTTGTGAGATCACTTTTTTTCCTTTTCGGTTCAGGTATAGGTAAAGTAATTTTGAGCAGGGCACGCGCAAAACAACATTACAGTCGTACCTAGTACGATAGTTCGAAACTATCGATCATTATGACCCTTATTTTGGTGTATGTTGTCGTTGTGAAAACCGATTAACTGATCTAGAGAACATTGAAGTAAAACTAGAACTTTTAACATACTGGCTGATCTGGCTCAACTTATTTCATTCTTCCTTGGTTCTTGGGACTGTCGTAATATCGTTTTCTACTGTCTACTCGTGGTCTATTAAAGGATCCACTAGACGAACGCCGAGGTCGTCGACTACAGCAAAAGTTGCAAATGTCTCAGTTACAACGGCGTCTGGAAAGATTCGCGCTTGAAGGTGGGCGAGGAGAGATGGGCATCGAGTTTCGCATCAAGGATCGGCCTAATTCAATCCAGGTACCTTTCCAATTTTATTTATTTCTTTGGACCGTTATCGTGCCTTTAATTATAGACGCTTGGTTGCAAGCAAATGACGATGAGCTTTTTGTTCTTATTGTCCTTTATTCAGAGTACTTCATTGGTTTTTAACATTCTCGCTTCAGTTTAATCGTATGTTGTTACACTATCGCCTGGAGGTTGTCAAACGTCAGCGTGGTACGGTTGTTATCCGAAAGAAAATTAACCCGTGCAATAGAGTCCCAGAGTACGAGTAATCCGCGAAACTTTAACGCGTCGTTTGACCGGTATTTTCATCATATTATGTTTTTCTTTGTTTTAAATGTTGAATTCTGAGACAGTGTTTCCTGACTTTCCGTCGTTTCATGCATATTTGTTGCCTATTCAATGCTGCGTAGCATGAAGGAAGTGAAGCGTACAGAGTTGTGTCTTTGGTCATTACCACATAATCAACAAGCTGTGGGTATTCCCATTGATGCTAACCACATGCGGCATTTCGTTTTGATTTCTTAGAAATTTTATCTAATCGACCTAACTACCAACTAGTTTTTCGTCACATTTATTTGTTTATCCATTCCTCTTTTTGAAAACTAAATCTTGTCATTGCCATTTCAACGCTTCACGCATAGAAGTATCAGGTTGACGTGTTTTGCTTGCGCCTCATTCATTGCAGATAAAAGCTTTTTCACTACATCCTGTCTGAAGTGATTTATATTGTAATCCTGCACCTGAATTGTTTCGCTTAGTAATCGGCAATCGTCACTACTGCATAATCGCTATAAATTACGGTCCCGATACCATCCGCTGACCGCTGTCATTTCATTTTCGGGTTCACGGTTGGGCAATATGAGATAAACGAATTTCTCTGAATAGGAAACTGTGGTTGAAAACATCGCAGTTCAGACATCATTTTGATCTGCTCCCGATGTATATAGTGTTGTTTCAGCTGGTAGAAGGTATTTCTGTGATACATGAACACATTTTCTTTTACCATTTTTGCTTGAAGTGAATTTTATTTGCCGTGTAACCTTATGAACTTTAAATAAAAAGTGCTCATCAAAAAATGATCATCTGAGTTTTTCTCGGCTACCGTAATGCTCATCTTGTAAGAAATTATTATGTCTTGGCTGCATAATTTATGACGAACTCCTAGATCTGAGGCTTAAGCTACGAAACATACAGCGACAGTCTAGGCTGATACGCAATTCAGATTCGTCAATGGTCAAGAAACGCACCGGAATCAAGGCTGACTATGTTCGGCTAACTGTCAAGATGTAAGTTCATCGTTTCTTGTCGGGGTTTTTTTTAACTATTTGAATGTACCGAATGGATGCGCATTCGATGTAGGTGCAATGATCTTTATTGCATTATCCACTCTCAATGTTCATATTTAATGTTTTCAGTGAGCTCGCCGACTCTCACCCCTTTACGTCGTCCGATTTTGAACTATTTGTTAGTGAATCCGTGAAAAGAGTTTTGGGTACATGCGGTCCTCAAGTGCAGGTTCTGATTTCTAGCGCTTTACTATATATTGCTTTTTTATTTTTTGAATCGGTTTTTTTCTTTCATGGAGCGCATGAAAAATGAATCACCGGTTGCAGATCGCTGGTTATGATGAGTCAACCAGTAAAGGTAGCATAATAGTAGCTGGTGAAGACGCTCAGCTTGTCTGGGCCTCGTTAACAATAAGTGGTCAGTACAACGGGCAGTACCGCACAAGAAACATAGCTGCTCACTTCTTCTCGGTACGTAATTTATGAACATTTAGTTGGGTTTCGGAGGTATAGTTCTTTCCGTTTCAGCTGACAGAATACGAAGCTGGAGAAGATTTCGTCCTCAAACCTGTTTTCTAACATGCGAGATGAACGAAGAAACTTCACTATCGTGTTAATCAGATCCAATTTGTTCATGCTTTCCCTTCATCGCGCAGTTTCTGGGACCAATTCGGAATGAAATGGTAGATTTTGGAAGCACATGGGCTGAAAGCGCTTGATATCAGGTAGTCAGTAATTCCTAGTTCCATCTGAGCTCATTGTGATGTACGAAGAGGTGCTTAACATCAATAAGCTGACCTCTGCACATCCTCAGCTCGCCGAACTATACCAAGTCTACCGTCTACCCTTCACCCGAGTGCTGTAGAAGGCTCTTCCAATAGCCTCAAAAAGCTTATAAGAAAAATAGAACTTCTTCACTTAAAGGATCATGTGGTGCTATATAGATGATAATGTTGTTGATACTATTGTTGTTTTGATTTTTTCGTTTCTTGTTATGCTATTTGAAGCTATAAATCTTATTTGTAGATCTCTCTTATACTCACACGTTGACCGTAGCGAAACTTACCTCTGCCTGTTCAAGAAATATCCGAAAATGTCTACAAAATTATGCAAAGTGGAAGGACCATTTGTTATGCGTGGTTTACTGGCCAGGCAAGACTGGCTAAACACGGCAGATTCTGGCTGCCCTTCCACAGTGGACCATTTTAGAAGTAGTCCGCCATTCCTATGTGTGCGCCTTATCAGTCGTTCGTATCATTCTAAGCTCGCGTTCGCTTTCTGAGGTTATCGATTTTTATCGGTTACTTTGGAAAGGTTATCAGGTTATTAATGCAATTAAACTAATTGGCTTTCCTTTACTTTGCATTTTGAATTACCCCATGGAGATATGGTTCCTTGGGGGACTGTCTTGGAGTTTCAACGCTCTTCATCGAACCTTTCTCCTGATAGAACCTTTCTCCTGATAATTATTTGTTTTTTTTTATAATACTAGGATGATTTTCTCTCTCGTCTTCACTGAGAAGTGTTTTTCTCGATAAACTCAATTGCTTAGGGCCTCGGTTGATCTCGAAATACAATGATACCTCCATGGCTAGCAATTATAATTGTCATCGGGGTAATTATCGGACTGATCGCATTTCTGGTCCTATATTTTTCCCTACCGTCACGGAAAAGCTTTGATCTCACCAAAAAGCATGCTGTTGTAACCGGTTAGTCGTCTTTAGACCTATTATTTTCATAAAATATAGCTCTTTCTTAAATGTGTTCACTGTGAAAGGAGGGCTCCTGTAGTTTCTTCGGAAAAACTCTCTTATTTGTGCTTTCGGAATCTGAAGTGAACACTCCGCTCTTCATGCCTTACAGTGTCAGTGTGTTTTTAGAGTAACATCAGTCGTAAAATAGGTGGTGGAAGAAGCTGAATGATGTTGCGAATCATATCAAAGTGTTACAGATTATAAATTGTTCGAACCCTCCATAGTTCCATTTCCTTATAAAAAGAGGCAAACTTTATTTTTAGGCGGATCTAAGGGGATTGGCAAGCAATTAGCTCTCTCACTCTTATCGAGAGGATGCAATGTGACCATTATCGCAAGGAAGGAATCTGACCTGAGGGTATGAATACACTGAGCTCTACGAAAATTGTTTGATAGTATTTCTGCTTGATGTTCCAGGCAGCCTGTAAAGAGCTGCAGTCTGTGGCTGATCAACGCGGTCAAAATCAGAAAGTGCGTTGGTACTCCCTGGATCTGACTAAAGGATACCGCGAGGTATGTGAGTCATTTGTCTCTGTTTCACTCATAATTTTTCATGATTTTAAGGTGGAGTACGTGATCCGACTGGCAGAAAAGGAGCTCGGGCCGGTCGACGCGCTCATCAACAACGCCGGCACTAGTGTTCAGGTGTTTAATCATGATCGTAACCATGGAAAATAAACCTGAACCAGACTTCGTCAGCAGAACTGCGACGAAGTTTCCATGGCTGGGAAAGGGCTCTTGCCTGTAGTCACACTTCTTTGCGGAGCTTCTAGACCCTCCTTATAGCAACCTTCAGCACAATACTCAATAGTGCACTCAATTTTTTTCCAATTTCCGCAAAATCATGGATTCCAGGGTGCTTTTGAAGATCTGCCGATTGAAGATTTCGAGAAGCAGGTCAAGGTTAACTACCTTAGCGCTGTAAGTTTCAATTCATAGTGTCGCCTTTTCTGGCCTGCAAATGATTGGTATTGATTTATATTGATTAAGATTTATGCTACTCGTTGCGTTATAAAAGGCATGAAATCGCGTCGAAGCGGCCACATTAGTTTCGTGTCATCAGCCGCTGGTCAGTGCGCCATTTATGGTTACACGGCTTATGCACCGACAAAATTTGCTCTCAGGTGAGAAGGCATTCTTTTAATCAACTGTACAGAAATCAGAGTAAGGACGTCGAAGAAGAAAGAAAATGTCATGTCGATCGAAATTTTCTGAAATTGAAAAAAGAAGCCTTCCCGCCCTTACAGAGGTTTTGCTGATGCTCTTCAGATGGAACTATCTCCATACAATGTCAACGTTTCTGTTTTATACCCTCCAAACACGGATACTGAAGGATATAAGGTGCTCTCCGCAATGTTTTCTTGTACTATTACTTTTTTTTTTAGGTTTTTTGTATATGTATGCGAAAAGTATCATAGAGAATACAATACTCGAGTTTTAAGTATCATATACCGATACTTCAGGCAGAATTAGCGAGCATGCCCGAAGAAGTTCAGCTGATTAGCGAGACGGCTGGCCTTTTTTCTCCGAAAGAGGTTGCTGATGCTCATGTTGTGAGTATCGAAGCCGGTTACTACTCTACACCGATTGGACTGGACGGATGGATGTTGAGTGAGTTAAAATGCTTCATTGTGGCCGGCCAAAACTGAATATTTGCGTCCTACCATAATTCATTGAATAATATATTCTTACCTTTCTAAGATGGGTCATTACCTTTTTCGCATGAGGAATATCGCGCTTGAGGATATTACCCGCGCGACGTAAGCCCTTTACGTTCAAAGAAGAAGAGAATTGAAGAGACTCAAATGCAAGACCACTTTTTACTATAATAAAATAGGGTGTTTTAATCAACTACTGCTTAGATATCCTGACAGCAGGTGCTTCCCCCGAAAGAAGTATGATTGATGCCTTGACGCAGGTTAGTTCCCTTCAGTTAGTTAGTTCCCTAATTAATAGTTGCTTCATAACAAACTAATGGCGATTTATTCAGATAATGCTTGGAGGAATATTACGAGGAGTCATGTTGGTCTACTTGGGTTACTTTACTGGCATTGTAAAGAAATGCTATCGACGAAGATTGATTGCGAATGAGCTACACGGTGAGAGATAGAATGAAATTAATTGGTGAGAGCTCAATAATCTCATATCTTTTTATTACAGCGATGGAGCAGAGATCGGCGGGCTCACAAACAGAAATGTCTGCGCTTTCTTCGAAAAAATCTGTCTAGAATAACATGTTATGAGTGACAAAAGCTACCTGATTTTTGATCGTTTCATTTCGTTACTAGTCTTATTTTCTAGGAAGCTTCACTTGTTACAAACACTCACTTTGCTCAGGTTTACAGATTTTATTGTTATTATATTTATATATTTAATTCCAATGTTGTGTAACTTTTCAATGTTCTTTGTCTGAGACCAGACAATAAAGTTGTTCTTTAAAGTCAAATTTCGGATCAGACTGAACGTTTCTAGTTGTCTTGTAGTTCATAAAGGCAGTGTTTGCTAAAAGGCATCGCTTGCCCATGGAACTGTAGCGATTGAAGGATGAATCGGTGTCATGAGGAGCCTAATGGAGCAAAATTAACTTTTTGCTATCTTCCCAAGCAAACCCTGTGTCAGGTAATTGACCAGATCAAAAATGTTTATCTGAGGCAGAATCGGGATCTAAGTAAAGGGGTGAAAATAATTCCACATGCCATTTGACTATTTTCCTTTAAGCGGATCTTTGAGTAAGAGATCAAGCACAATCAGTCTTGAATTCTTCTACTGATTCACCTGAAGGCAGCTCATTCAGTTCTCAGTTTGTTGAGGATTCAATTGTTACAGATGGCAAAGGCCTCTTCTCAGTTTTTTCTGGTGTGGAACAAGCCACTGATGTCGTGCCTATGAAAATGATAATCACATAAAAGGCCATTATCGAGGGACGATGAAAAAATCTATCAATCGGCATGAGAGCCAAGTAATAATCTGCGGATAATCTGGCATTCGCCCTACCGGTTCGAGACCACAAGGCTGCGCTGATTATTTTTTTNTTTTTTTCGTAATCTCCATTTCACGTTTCAAATTTGGCACTGGATCGTTGGACCTTTTGATCTTTGTGTGAAAAATGCCGTCTATAGTTTTAGTGTAGTACTGCTCCGATTTCATCCTCTATTGTGATCCCTAACAGTGAAGTTAAAATTTATGTGTGGGAAAGATTATTGTGGGTAGAAGGTTAGGTACGGAAAAGAAAGGGTTTTTCATGGAAGCGTCATGTTTTGGGATAGAATAAGCAACCTAAACATTTGATAATGCCCATCTATCAGTTCCTTCCGTAGGATGCGCTCAGCACCCGACTTCCATTCGTAATTGGGGTGGCGCCTTGAATGCGTATGCGACCTATACCGTGACGAAGGATGGTCAGTTTCATGTGAGCGTCAGAGTCTCTATCTTAGCAAAAAGGTCTGATGCCAATTGATCTATCGAGACGGAGGGCGTAGTTGAAATAGGTAGATAGAAATCCCGGATTCGATTTCCAGACTACGCTTATGTTAGAGTCCACATCGCCCGACCCCTTCTCTGCCATTCAGCCTGTAAGAACATTTCTATCAAATGAGAAGGAGAGCATAAACTGAAGGCCACCCGAAAAGTTACAGTCGGCNAGTTGGTGTAAGTCAGTTTAACAGTTTCTCTTACCGGGGTATGGTCGAGTACCGGACATTTGTTAATGCACCACCATGGTGTCAGCAGACGACTGCAGAATCACCGAGTATGGACTCAGTACAGGATTGCGTTGTCATGATCTTTTTTTGGCATCTCTCTTTTGCCTGCTCACACCGTCTACCGTTTCCGATAGATAGGCTTTCAAACTCGAGCTATACGACTGGGTCCGTAATTGTAGTATCCTACGCGTGTTCACCCTCTTCAACACATCTCTTCTGCTTACAAAGTGATATTTGTATTAATAAAAAATTAATATTTTACAGGGTTTACTTCGACTACTGGATGATAAAGGATGAAACATTAGACTGGCTAGGTATTTATACTTGTCGTGCTACCAATCAATGAAACGCCCGGCTGCCTGTTTCCTGATATTCTTGATGATTTTCTGCATCTACAACTATACACAGATTAGCATACGGACGACAAAACGTACTGATTATATTGATACAACAAGAACGATACATACCGTAACCCATAGGAACAAATTCTGCATCGCCTACAATACGACCAAGGCCACTAAAAGGTAACAAAATCAGTATTTGCTTTAATTGTAAATTCTTTCGGAATGTTAGTATGAGTGCTACTGCTGCGCTTTTTGGAATTACGGTAATTTCCCTTTGCCATCGGGCATGATGTTATCTCGCAAAAATCAAAGCCAGCTCATAGCTTCAGCTCACAAGGGTAGGATTCCAAGTCGAAGTGGCCATTTGAAATTAGACCTACACTGCTAGACGTATTTTTTGATGCTGATTTCGAATCTGCATTCAAGATCTGCTAAACAATTCTTTGAAGGAGTTTTGGAGGGGGCCTTGTCAGATTACAACTATAAATCAATCAATTTTAGTTTTCGCGAAGATGGTGTGGAGCCGGTCACACTAGCGACACACAGCACTTCTCAATATTTGAACATCCTGGATCAATTGGTGAGATCATTTTCCCATCCGAAACGCCTATGTACCTTGCGGTCTTTAAGACGAGAACAATTATGACGTCTCATAGTCCAAACTGCTTCCCACTATTGTCCCATTTTGGATTGAGTACTATTCAGTTTGAAAACTATAGTCCAAGAAAAGTTCGGGTGGATGTGGTGTCGTGCCAAGCGACGCACTTTCATACAATTGCTTTTAAGATTGGATGCCGGGTTGACGAACTCCAAAGCCAACCGAATTACTTATACTTCAAACGGTGGTTGATTGGTATTTAACTAGTTTCGGAAGACAAAAGCAAAAGCTCGTACATGAACCGACCACGGCATTGAAAGTCATTGTAGAGGCCACGTAAGCATTCGAAACACCATTACAATTCTGAATGGAAGCTGAATGCAGTGGCGCAACTCAAGACGGGACTAATCTCCGAAAGACGTTTCTCTTATACAGCGGTTTACCTGGCAACAAGGACCTATAACTATTTTCCGAAATCCTAAAATGGATGGTTCCCTAGATAGGCTCCCCTGCCATGCCTGAGATGGGGTGCCCACTGAATGCAGAAGGCATTTATACGGCTTCTCTTTTGACATGAAATCTTCATTTTTGTTACTTTTGCCTTCATTGTGCAATTTTAACCAGCTTACATAACTTTTCGCATGATTCAGTTACAATCGTGGGATAGTCCCGTGTCATTGGCGTTGTACATTGATCGTGGTTCATCAGGAGCTTTGCAGTATCTCCTGGATTTGCATCGCTGCAATCGATCAATCGCAGAAAAGGTTAGTTAGAAGAAATTCTAGATTTATTCCAGGTTCTACAAAAAAGATAGTTCTAGAAGGAGCAGAATTAGGGGAAGCAAACTGTAGTCGATTAGGCTGATGTGGGACCCACTCGGATGGGTGTTCATCGGTACTCAGATACATTCCGCGCGATCATCTAGTTCAGAACTGTTCTGTTCAGAACCCAACCCAGAAAGATGGTTTAACACTAAAATTGCTTTGAGACCGTCCTTTCACCGTAGGATGGCTTATGAACCACCGCAAGCCAACTGGGTACAGACGAATTTGCACCGGAGGGTTATGAAGCGGTGCAGAATTCGATCCGTAACTAATGTTGTTGCACGCGATGCCATAACCAAGCTCAATACTCCCAGTCAGGAGCTTTTTAGGAGCGTTATTTTGAAATTAACATTCACCAAGGCAACATTACATAAGGAGGTTTCCGACCGGAAAGAGGAATTATGGAGCATAAAAAATCACTGTAAGGATTAGATGCGCACAGATGCCTATCGATTGATTCCGCTCGCCCAGTTTTAACGTGTGAAATCGCCGTAAAACTGCGAAATGACGCAGAATGGACGCTGAGATTCGGTCAATCGATACGGATCTGGCGTAGTAGTGTAAGTCGCAGACCATAAACAATATTTGCATTACTTTATAAAACTTTATTTCGTTGTTTTCACGTGAAAATTATCATTTTCATTTATGATTATTGTGTGTTCCCAACATAAATGCAATTCTCCTTCTTGAATAGTTCCTTCAAAGAACACAAATGACACATTTTCAGCTTTCCGTCCATGTGGTTTATCAGCTGTCGGCGTTCCAGGATAAATGTCAGCCACTCCAGGTTCTCAGACATCCGGTCTCGTGCCTGAATTTTACATCTCAATACAGTTCAGTGTTAGGCTTTTCGATGGCCACCAGAGGCCGACTGACTAGCATTAAATCCATTAGAAGGATTCGATTTTTAGGAAAAAATCAGCTCAATGCGCTGGTGTCGCCGTTTGGCATCTATCCAATAAATGTCATGCGAAATGTTGCTAGGAGAGGAGCACCGTCCTATTTCCATCTGATCAGCGACGTTGAGATGGTATTTAGGTGAAGCTCTGATTGCTAGTCTGCTCATATGATGTTGATACTGATCGCAATATGAAAGACCGAGACTACCCCCAACTTTGTCTGGAATCTGCGCCCAAAACATCAGTAAAACATGGAGTGTAGGACTTACAAGTGCATAGGAGGTGTGCCAGCTTGGCGTGTGCTGATAGCTCTTGGATAGGCAGCCGTTTTGTAGGGGCAAACCCATGAAACAGGTTTTTTGCCTCTGCCTTGAATTCCTCTCACTTTAGTGCCGTGTAGACGAGAAATCTGCTATCAAGGTGAAGCCAATACTGATGGTCGGCGGATCCCATCCCCGCTTTCACCACATAATCCGCTTCCAGACTTAGGTTAGTATCTATGAATGTAGATACGTGATGTAGTTGGCACCCTTAACTTTATGGTTAGAAGCGTGCCTGGAATTCTGGAATAATGTACGCTACCAGTACTAATCTGATACCTTTCGATCTTAATTTATGGAATACCCCACCAACAACGGATACATACCGATCCTGAATAGTGTAGGCTACCAGCAATACTTATAATACGTATCGATTTGGAATCATAGAACTCGCCTCTTGCATTGGATCGGTGTGAGCCTTGCGAATCACGGAATGCACATACTCTCCTACAGGGCGGCCCTCACTGATCAATGCGTTCCTAATCTTGGCAATGCGCGCAGCACCACCGAAGCCTGGGCCGTGGCGTTGGACGGCTTTTGGGCTGGTCTCCATCGCAGTGACGTCACTCTGACCAGGGTGCCCGGTTCGCCTTGCTTTGCAGCACCTTTTAGGGTTTGGGTAGCGACTGGAAAAAAACGCAAGGAATACACCATCAGTCAAGTTCGTGCGCCAACGCTCGACTATTTGGGTACTGAGGTTTTCAGAGCTGAAAGGGCAGGAGGAACTCGTTTAACCTCAGGCTATCTTCAACAAGACCATTCAGCAATCCCAGGGCCGGCACTTGTCCTGCTGTAGATTTTGCTGTGCGGGCTGCTGTCCTTCAACATTTAATAGGCTGTATTAACAGCCCTTCACTGGTTTTTACAAAGATGTATAAGTAATGTGAGGGTATTTTAAGGATTCACTTGGGGATCTATGAGTCCTGTATGTGTAAGAAAATAAAGGCCACAGAAAAAAGAATAACATAACAATTATTTGTGTCTTGACGTATAATTAATATTATTAATATTGATATTATTACTATTGTTATTATTATTATTGATATTACTATTGTTATTGCTGTTTCAGTTCTAATTTTGCTCTGCATGCTAAGAGACTGGCCAATGCTCATATCCGTCCGAAATCGAAAAATCTGATTGTGATAAGGTGATTGTATATTGTTGAAAAGAACGGCCCTGAAGCTCGCAACGCGACTATGCTCGCATTTGGAATTTCTCGAGGATTTCAAGAAGCTTTAAATCAGAATTCTACTTCAGAAGATTTGAAATCGAATCTGGCGTCGAGGTACCACGTAATCACACCTCACTCAGAGAGCTCATCGATTCCAGAAAGTAAGTGAGACTACTCTAAACAGCTCCAAAGTTGAGCGTCACCGTAACTCTCTGAGGACGCACCGCTGTCTTGGTAGCGGTGTTCTTCCCTTTCTATAAGGCAGATCCTTACTCTCATTCCTATGGACTTTATGACTAGCATTTTACTATTTTCTTCTTTGCAAGCTACAATTTACTTTTTTGAGAGCACATGAATACCACCATAAATTGTTCCCCGTTGGTCATACCATCAAAGCATTATGGGAATGGTTTAAGCGTTCTAAAGAAAAACCTGAGCCCTACGTGTGGGAAATTCCGTACAAGTAGGTTCATTATTTGCTTACCCCGAGATATTTCTCCGAAAAAATTGTACTGTTGTTCAGAAATCCCATGTGGGAGCCGCAGTTCATCATGACTGCAACTGATCCGTTCAGTGAGGAGTCAATGCCGACCCGTCTACGAGATCAGCAAGCATTGGTGAGCTACTGTATGCAGAACTTGGAGCATTTTTTTCCCACGGGTCAAGAAGCGTCATTTGGGTCGTTGCGAAAGACTAGCTCATTCAGTACCCGTCGCTACCTCTGTTTATTCTGACCCATCCCCTTGATGGTTCCATTACTCTGTCAAAGGTTGATGGAGCAAAAGTTATCCTAGACAAGTATGTACTTCTGTTTTCACATAATGTTACTTTCCATATTCATGTCAACAAAGAGAGCTTGATCTTTATTAAGAACAGTGTGGATAAAATAAGAATAAGATTACTAGCATCTCCTGGACGAGAAAGTATTGGTCAAAACTTCTTGGCAAAGTGCCAGCTACGGCAGATAGTGTTCTGATGCGAAGCTGTCGCGCCTTGACCCCTCTCGGGAGTGGCGCTGATAGTGCTTTTGACGCTTGATCAGTTACTTTGTGTTAAGGATGCAGGAAAGCTTCCTAAACGAAGATCCCTCTTAGAACTAACGAGGATCGCTTAAGCAAACCAGAAATCCGTTTTGATAAATTTTTATTTTAGACTTATGAATTATGTCGTGCCAACTACACCTTTTTACTAGCGTCACAACTCTTCAATGTCCATCGAGGTGTCAAACGGTTCGCCACAAACTTTGACAATGCTGTCGTCCAGCATCAAATCCGGTTCAGATACAGGTAGATATTGTAACATTATCCTGTATGTAGATTTTTCCAGCATTAAGCAAAACCCGTTGAGAAGTTGCTTGCATTCGTGATGGACCGGCTCCGTCAACTTTAGAAGATCGGCTCGGTTTCTGGGGAGAAATGGGTAACGGTACGAGTGAAGGGCTCGGCAGGCTTTTTTGATGATTTAATCGGGTTTTGGCCGCAACGCGAGCTTTTTCGACGAGCTCTTATAGAATGGTTTCGTGCCTGAATCAACTTCTTTTTTGTTTTGATGTTTATGTGGTCCATAGAACGATTCTATTTCTCTCGGTTTCAGTGCCTTCATACGTTTCAAACGACGAATGGACGCCGATTATCCGAAAACCCTCAAACGATGTAATAAATTCACAATGTGAACAGAGTTTATTTGTTAGTATTTGTTGACAGCATTAGTAAACAATTGACAGAATTCAGTGTTGTGATGAAACGCTGTGATAGCGTCTTTTTCCCTACTAACCTCCTGCTAAATTTGCAAGTGTAAGACAAGAGTAAAAGGTAAGCAAGTAGGAGTTGAAAAAAAGGCATTTCCATGATACTTCCCATGAGCCTCGGCATAACTACTGTGTTAAGATTTGTTTTCTTGGACTGTTTAACAGGTTTATATACAGGCTTCATTAGGCCGACTTTCAGGCGGACCTCGTTGTCCCCTTTACTGCCTCATTTTCTGATTCCTCTATTTTCTGCATGGAATAAAACTTGATCCACCTCATCCTTCATCCACTTCGCTTCTTTTAAAAACTCATATCTGGCTGCATTCAAATA